TAAATATACTAAAAAGATTTTGTATTTGTTTCGTTTTCGTGTGTGTTTTGTGCTTGCAATAAAAAGGCAGTGTTTGTTGTTGTTGAAATACATAAAAAATTAATAAAAAAAAAAAAAAAAAAATATAGCGGAATAAATTTGTAAGCAATGCAAAATATATATATTAAAAAAATCATTTAGTTTGTCATATAAATTGTATAAATTATAATTAAATCTAAACAATTTGCTAGTGGCCCTGATCGTTCGATATTTATCGATTTATGTACACATACATATATGTATACATTTCGATTTGTTTGCGTATAAAATAAAAAACAAATATGTGGGATTTGTCTTTTGTGTTGTTAGAAATAAATGTAAACTTTTTGTTGAAATTTTTTAATATTTTAAGTTAAGTTAAGAGAAAAGAATCTATACATATATGTATATAAAACTGTGCATATAATTTTGTTAAACTATCACAAAATTTGCTACAATTGAACACTATTGGAGAGAGAGAGAGGGAGCGAGAGTTAGTATGAGGGAGAAAGCAACAGAAATGTACTTAAATATTTAATTGTGAAATCAAAAAAATCTCAGATTTGTAAGTTTGCTAGCTAAAAATATTGCCTCTGGCTGGTAAATTAGTATAAGTAGCTTGGATTAAATTAGTTAACAGCAGCTTTTAGCTTCTAGTTTACATACACACACACCATGAAAAGATCATATTAGTGCGACTGAGCACTAAATGTTAGAAAAAAAAAACATAATGATAAACTTAATATCAACATCGTAACGACTAACAATATATGTTTATCTTAATAATCGTTTGAAATAGTTTTAAAAACACTGAGTTTATCCCTAAGTTGTGTTTTTAAATCAGCATTTAGTGTTCCGTCGCACTACTATATATATTTATCTATTTATAAGTGTGTGTGTGTGCATTATGGTTTGACTGTTCTATGGAATCTACTGTAAAAACATTGGTTAGCTGATATTATTATTATTTCTTTTATATTCATTTGTTTCGATTTAGCTTCTGCTTTTACTTTTACTTGTTTTTCTTTAATATTTATTTAAATTATGAGGTACTTTAAACTTTTTGGCACAGTGAAAGTTTATCCTTCCATCAACTTTTCCAGCTTGACAATT